TGATACTAGTGATAATCAAATATTATCATAATTGCAATATTATGATCTCAGTGGAGTCACAACGGAATTACAATTTTTCAGGGTTTCAAGACAATTTGCAGATTTACGGCCATGATGGAAAGTGACTAAGACTTCCTTAACTTAATTTATAAGTTACATTACATTTTGAGTTCTAGGTTTTCGCTTGTTTGTTTGTTTCGATTGTTATACATAGGAAATGAAATTATTTTTCCGGATTTAAATCGCGTACATTTGTTTTTCAAACAAACCAACGCTTCGGGCCCTTTACAGGTCCCCATGGTTACATGGTCACCGTGAAACGATAAATTGTCGTCACGATCCAATGGGAGCAGCTAGGCAGCTAGTTGTTGAACGATTAAAAAAGTCCACGACACAGTCACGACAGATAGTCGTGATATGGGTACAGACTATAGACGCGACAGTCGTCCATCGATAAATAAAACGTTACGACATGATGGGAACGCGCCTTTATGGTGAAGAATCGTACTTAACGAAGACGGTTCACAACCCTTCGAAAAAGTAAAAAAAAGTGTGTTCAAAACCTCTCGTTAGAGGAAGCTCGTATTCAGCAGTGAGAGTTATAATATAATCGGTTAATGAAGATGTTGACTAAATTGATCAAAATAAAAGTAAATGGGTTGATAACCTACAGACAATAATCGATGTCAAACGCAGCAATGGTAATGCACGTGGCACATACTACGCCGGTGTTTAGGGCCTATGCACACAGCGTATTTTATACGCGCAGACGACGCGCGTTTCACGTTGAAGGCGAATCAAAAATCGCGTTGCAAGACTGAGGAAAGGGGCAGGGAAGAGCGCGCTCACGCCACCGCGACACATACGGCACCGTAAACGCGCGTCATCTGCGCGTATACGCGCGTCATCTGTACGTATACGCGCGTCATCTGTGCGTATACGCGCAGACGCGCTGTAGTGAATCGATTCAAACCCACGCAAACATCGCGTTACAAGCAAGCAGCTTATATACTCCACTGGAGATTACACTTAGAATTTCATGTAGTTGCTTCATTTAAAAAATTAACTGAAATTAACAAACAAAACTAAAATTAAATCTATCTTTTATCAAAATGCACGATACACACGCGCGTTTACAGCGCGTCTAAGGCGCATGTACGCGTGTTTACGGAGCGTATGAATTTGTGAACGTGTGCATAGATTTACTGGCTACGACTGGCTACGAAATACGCCATGTGTGCATAGGTCCTTATGTGTATCAAAATTTATAATATTATAATACGTGACGTCATTTACATGAACTTCAAATTTGTAGATTAAAAAGCGACTGTGTCAACATATTGGTTATCTTTCAGATAGCTACATGAACGCCCAGTGTATACTAACACAAAGTAATAAGGTATGTTATTAGGTACTCGTATTATTATAATACACATGTTTATTACGGTAGTAAAAATAGCTAAAAATCGTTAAAAGCAATCTAATTAGATTCAAAGAAGATAAAGTGACATTGTTTTTTTAATATGCACGTTCTAGATATGCGTGGAAAGTTTACTAAGCCAGAAATTTCGAGATTCGGCAACCATGGAAAACTATAGGGATTACTAAAGAGCTCAGAGATCCTTCGAGAAAAGGCCGTGCATTTTCGAAATGCCGCTTCAGTTTTGACGTTTGAAATGAAGATTTATTCATACAGATTTTTTTTAAATAAATGAACTTCTTGATCACTACCTAACCCTGAAGTAAAGATAGCGTCTACGATGGAACAAACGCGTCCAGAAGATACCTATTCAATCACACCTTATAGATTCTCTGGCTTATAGATAGATACTCTGGATGAGAGCCGAGTTTGAAGTTACCTATCAGTAGTGGATCCGAACAAGCCGCCACGGGTGAGCAAGGGCGCGCTCGGACGACTCTCTTCCTACGACGCGTTTGCGCGAAATGCGCGACGGACGCGGGCCGCGAAACGGGCCACGTGCCGTAAACAGCCGCCTTAGAGCCTACATATGCATACGGCGTATTTTATACGCGCCGACGACGCGCGTCATCTGCGCGTATACGCGGCGTAGACGTGCTGTAAACGCGCGTACATATCGCGCATTTTGATAAGAGATACTTTTAATTTTAGTTTTGTACAACAACAAATTACACCCAAACTCACGAGAGAAATAAATGTTGGCCATACAAATATTTCTACCGGCCCGGGAATCGAACCTGGGATCTTTGCATGGCAGTCCGGCATGGTGGCACGGAGGCAGTTATGAAATTAAAATGAAGCCACTACACCAAATGCTATTCATGCTTCTTGCTTGCAACGCGATGTTTGCGCACGTTTGAATCGATTCACTACAGCGCGTTTGCGGTGCGTATACGCGCAAATTACGCGTGTTTAAGGCGCGTTTAAAATACGCCGTGTGCAAGGGCTCTTGGAACGATCAGAATATGATACTGCATCAATCCATTTACAAGCGATTGTATATTCGATGTGACAGTAACTTAACAGTTTAGGGAAAATATTTTGTTTTTAAGCTGCTGGTCTTTACACTACTGTCTTACTTACCGTATCCAGCCATATCCAATCAAGATCGTCGCGTCTTTTTTCAAAAGTGATGAGCCAACGGCCTCCTTTCTTGTTGGCTGCGTCTTCCCACATCGGCCTGATGCCTTTCTTGAACACGCAGTAGTCCTGCCCTAGACTTAGTTCTGATGGAGTCTTCATGTAGTGGTAAAGGCTGATAAACAAAAAGAAGTACACGGTGACGAATCGACGGATTATTTCTAGGGTCTGCAGACTTAAGGACATAAGATGAAAAAATTATCTAAGTATTTTTCTGTATAATATCAATTGATGGGCCGAACAAGTCGTGCGCCTGATGGAAAGCGTCACGCCTGTCCATAAAAGTTGCAGTGCCACTATGAGCTTTAAATCGCAAAGATCTGAGGGGCACTGTCACTACGCCCGTCACGCTGAGACATAAGTTGACAAGTTCCATGTGCCTGTAATTTCACCAGGACCCTTACCCTTCAAACCCGGAACGCAGTAATGCTCCCATTACTGCTTCGCGGCAGAAGTAGGTAAGTTAGCAGTACTTCCTTAGACGAACTCTTTCACAAGAAGCTCTATTAGTGGAGTGTTATGAGGATGATCAGCCAGCAGCAGCCAGTGGCCAGATACCTACCGGCTATGCAGTGCTTGACAAAAAGTATATAGTAAGTAGTTATGAGTAATAGTTATCGAGTTCTTAGGTGATCGCGATTTTTTTCCAATCTTAATCACGTATATATTTGTTTTATTAAGAAAAATCAACGTTTTGGGCCCTTTACAGGTCCCATGGTCACGGCTGGTTGACGATTATACTTTGACTTTAACTAAGCCCCCTAGAATTTCTTGTTCATTCTTCTCAGGGGAATCTGCCTTAGGAATGAATGATACAGTTTAACCAATGTGACGATTTCAAGTGTAATAATGCTTACCTATGAAATAAAGATTATGTTGATTTTAATTTTGATTTGCACATTACCGCCTGGCGGCAGAAATAGGTAAGGGTGCGCAAAGGCTCGCGAGCTGCACATGTGCATTAGGTAGAGCCCTTATCCTTCTACATTAGTTTTGATTCTCCCTACCGACCCTTAGGGTATACGAGTAGGCCACTATGACCTGCGCGAGCATGCCCGCGCAGGGACCATCTCAGTCAGGTCCTAACCCCAGATCAGTCCGTTTGCACGGACTTTATCCGATTCTCTGTAAGGCTATATTCTCTGTAGTGCTTTAAGTGAGCCGCCTCAGGTACACGTCCGTTAGGTACGTAGTGCAATCTATTCGTGTGCTGTTCGTGCACATTACGAGATGTCATTACAGAGCCGCACTTAAATGCTCGTGTGTAGCGTGTGCGGCGTATTAGCTAGATCTGTACGCACTCTAAGGTGGTAGTACTTCCCTGGACGAACACAAGGAACTCGGTTGGGCTGTACGGAAGGGGGCACTATAAAGACTGGACTCCGCTACACTCACTCTGCTCGTGCGGCTTTTTCATGTATCTAACCTGACCTACTGGGAGGGTACACACGCTAACATATCAAGCTATACATTGACGTATCTTGTTCCGTTGCACTGGAGGCGGCTTTCGAACAAAAATGTGTAGTCTGAAGTGCCGTTGTCCGTACATTTCACCAGAAATTAAATTTCACCAAATTAAAAAAAAATCGATCGTAGTCCTGTAGCCTTGGTATATGAAAATTTGTCAGCTTCATTTTCTCGAAAACTATCGCCCGCGGAGAAAAATTAATAAGAACAAAAAGTGTTTATTTATATATCTAATCTATCCGAAACAAACGCTAAAAACAATTAAAATAGTAGATTGTACAACAACTGCATAAAACGCGTCATTTTACCCGAGACGAGATACTTAAGTCGAGGGTAAAATGGGTTTTATGAACGACTTATGCACTCTGCTTTTCACTTCGATTGCGAGGAAATTAAACCGCATTATTACAAATAAACGATTATTTAATTAAAATTTAATGTAAAATTACAACAATTAGACATTTATTATTTAATGTGATGTTTTTTTATTTTATGCACTTGAGCATAAAATCCTATTTTATGCAGCCTACACCCATAATAAATACGAACTTTAAGAGCATGAGAAGTGAAAATATCTTTAAAAAAATTCTGGTCCAGTTTCCATAGTGCCCCCTTTCCTACCGTCTGACCAGGAGCGCTACTGCTACTAAGTTTAAAATAGTATCATTTCCCATTTGTACCAATCGCGACAAGCCAAAAACTCGATTATTTCAATACCTCTAGAAAATCAAGCAATGAGACAAAGGTACTCACGACCAATAGTCTTCAACGGTGTTAAAAGCAGTGAGCTCTATCAAATTGTCTTCCCATTTCTTCTTATCGTTGGTGAACATCCAAAATGACCAAGAATGCTCCAAAGGATGCTTAACACCCTCCAAAACTTTTGTGGGGACTCCACTCAGGTCTGGCGCACTTTGAGACTCCTCGCAAAGAAACATACACGTAAAAAATCAACGATAAAACACACAACAAAAAACAAATAGTCAAACAAATAAATTCATAAAATTTAACTAACCATAATTCAATTTACAAATAAAAAGTTTTACACGTCTCCCGCCATTATTTTGTACGGACGGAGAAAACGTTGAAAGTCAAATTTGAAATATTTTTAGAAAAATGTTTCTTTTTGTATTGAAATCAATTCACAAAACGAATGAAACCTTTCAGTAGCCATGACCTGTACGATAAGTAATTTTGTGTAATGTTTCATAATTTTTATTGATATTTTGAGGAAACTGTATTTTTATTGGTGTGAATTCACAAACCGAATGAAACCTATCGGTGGCACTTACCTGTGCCGTAAGTAATTTTTTATAATATTTCATAATTTTTATTTATATTTTTAAATTTTATGTGATTAAACGGATATTAATATTTTAATTAATTTTATTGTCATATTTGATAATTAATACATAGAGATTTTTAAACTAAAACTACTTACACCGTTTCTGATTATGTGCGTATGAAAACAGACGCCATATTTACTTCTTTTTTTTCATGGCCTTCTTGCTTTTTGACTTTTACTTGTTAATTTACAGCCAGTTTCAAAACCAGTTTCATAGACAAAATATTTTTTTAAATATAGTCAGATTTACTCGGTATAAAGCCACATACTCATTAGGAAACGAATGTCCCGCGACACGATAATGATGTTCCCAGGAGAGCGAAGTGTGGAAATATCACGCTACTTAGTTCTTAGCGCACTCACGGAGTAAGTTTACCTACAATAAGTACTATTTTTAATTGTTTTTTTATATTCAACCTCACGAATTAATAGATTAGATAATTAAACTAGATAATTCCCAGTACTATCACTACGTATCAAAGCAACGAAATTCACTCCAAAAAACAAAGAATCAACATAAAAAAGATCGCTTCTGAAATTACACCTAACGGGAATCGAACCAGGGACCTTCTCAACTAAAGCATGGGGTGTTAATCGAACCGCTTTTGTCTAATAACCGACTAATACAATTGATACAGGAATGCACAAATCAGGTTGTTTAACAAAAACTTGTTAAAACATGATTGCCCGCGGTCTGTTATCTAAGAAAATTACCTATCTAGGAATACTAATAACTATTAAAATGCGAAACTGTTCCCGTTAACGTGTTCCCTTTTTATTTGTTTGTTTGTGTCTACTTTCATTTTGAAACGGAGCGACCGATTGACATGATTTTTATTTTATTTATTCAATAAAATAAGACATATATGAACTACACGGAGAGAAATATCGAACCGAGTTAGTTTGAGCAATCTCTTAAGTGTTAATTAATATTAGTTGATGTTCACAAGTTGTAGTCGAGAGTCGAGAGCTCAGTCGGTGTCTTCCTAGATGAAATTACAAATCTCCCCCTAAGCCTCTACACAACGCCCCAATTTTTTTTCTGGGTCTCTTACCTTTAACAAACTCTTAAAGGGGGCCTTTAGCATGCAGCGCCCACTTTGGGAAAGGCTGCTATAGATAGACCATAGATGCTATACTTAACAAGTGAGCGCACGTCAACTATTTCACGTTTCTTTCCATTCGTTACATTATCACACGACCTTGAGCTGCTAAAAATTATAATTTTAGCACTTTAAATAGCGCGCTATAAAAATTTAGCATTTAGCGTGCTATGTGAATATAGCAGTTAATCTCGTCTTTAATTATAACAAAAGGAGGTAACATTTAGTAATAAATTGTTACCGTTCTTCCTTTACACTATTAAAAAACAAAATGACGATTAGTAAGTAGTCCATTGGCGACTTAAATTTAAACGATATTTTCTCATTTCTCACTTAATTGAAAATTGTAGAAAAAAATAGCTGAAACCACTTTCCGTATATTCATTCATAACATTCTTAGAATCAAATTTATTGCAGGTGACCGTGAAATAGGTTTTTTCTCAGGTGCCCGTTTTTTGTTGCAAAACAGTGTAGGTTGATGTGCTGTTGACTGTACATCTGCATATCTACGTCACCCATCTATTGTACTACTTATCTGCTGATTCATAGTTTTCAGATTGTCAAATGTTATGCAATACCTATTAATTTTAGTCATGGTATGTACGTATAAATGAAGAAACGCCAATAATGCTATGCGTTTGGAAATAAAGTGTTAGCAATTCTAGAAAAAAGACTCGGAAAATATAAGAAAATTTTGAAACTTACTTTTTTGATTATACTCATCGTATTACACAATATAAAATAATTTATGAAACAAAAACAACAATTTATTCGTAAACAAATAATGCACAGATATCGCACGCACGACAGGTAATCAAATTCTGCGCTCAGTGACAGCGCTTTTGGGAATCCCCTGTAGCACGATTTAGTGCGGTAATACACGTCCGATTTTATGTCTGATGGTCGGATCCGACTATCGGATCGATTCACTCAATACACGTCCGATAGGCGTCCGATTCTTACGTCAGACTTTTTCTGAACTAACAGCAGTCTTTCCAGTTTACAGAGAATTCCCCAAATACAGGGAATTTCAACTTAACTGGGTTTTGTTTGGATTACGCTATGTGGGGACAATGCCCATTCTAGAATTTTATCATATTTTTGTTACATTAACAAACGGAGCACGGCCCGTTCACTTCCCGGACACGGCCCGGATATGTATGGATAGACCTTAATACCACAACTTGCCACTCGTCAACTTAAATATTAAGGTTTAAACTTAATTCAACTTGTTGAGTTTATTTCTAATTATAGCATAACGTACATGTAATAGATGGGTACATTGTGATTTCTTAATTATTTGATATATTTTTAAGCGTAGGCGATTAACACACTGCACCGCTCTCATTTACCGATTCACACCGATTAACACACCTAGCAACGGCGTGCGAGACGCGGAATTACGCGCGCAGTAGCGGAGACGCAGATCTGCGTCAACGCGCGGTTTAATCCGCGCGGCCCGCGCAGGGAAGCGTTTTCAGTGTGTTCGACGGCGCCTGTTTTCCATACAAACTGAGGCACTTCAGTACAACGTCAAAAACCACAGCTCCGCGCTTTGTCGCGGAACGCGGTGCAGTGTAATAATCGCCTAACAATAATAATATAATAAATATTGAGAATGAAGAAATATTATTACACGTGGGAAATATGACCTTTGCTCTGCCCAAATTTATAATCTTGATTTTTGGGGATTTTGAATAATTTGCACTGGCAACGCTGCAAATCGGAGGGAAGAATCGAACGTGTATTTCGTCTCCCCGCAAAAGTATAGAGAGCACGCCTTCAGACAATCGGATCAGTAATAAAATCGGACGCTATTTCCGCTCGGACGCCACGTATTGAGTGTTTATACAATTATATGGTACTAGCGCCTTCCGGTAGTCGGATCAGGCTATCGTATCCGACTATCGGATGGAAAAAACTGACGTGTATTGTCGCACTTACATTGCCACGGAAAAGAGTTGAAGCGAATTTTTTTAAAATAGATGGCGCATTTTGTGGACAATACTCGCAGCTACCTCCTACCGTATCATATCTAGTTTGTACGTTACGATAGAGTACATTATACTATGTACAGTTTCGTTAAAAAAATTCGTCCATACCGTTGCGCGACAATGTAAATTGAACCTAAAAAACACCGCTTTCTTGAAAACTAGGAAGTTGTTTTTGGTGTAGGTTAAAAACACAATAACTCGCAAACCGTAACCTGAGTACATCGAGTTTGATTATGTACAGTCAAAAGCACATCAAGCTATACACTTTTGTTCGAATATCGCCAGAAGTGCAACAGAACAAGATCCGTCAATAAGTAACTTGATGTACTGCCGTCTGTACCTTAGAATAAAAATAAATATCGACGGTTAAAAGGCGAATGCACTCAAGATGAAGAAGAGCGATATTGAGTTATACGTGAGGCGCACTATAAGTTTCCGGAATTAATAAGAAAAAAATACTATAAATAATCAGAAATTAATTTATTGTTTCTCAAAATATTCGTTAGCGTTAATGCACTTTTTAATACGAATGAACCATTTTGAAAACATTCTCGTCACGGAGGAGTGGCATAACTCCTCCGTGACAATATCTGAAACATATTTTTCATACTCTTTGACAGCCTCTTCAGGTGATGAAAATCGTTGACCGCGTAACTGGTTCTTAATTTTTGGAAATAAATAAAAGTCAGAAGGTGCCAGGTTGGGACTGTACGCGGGATGGCTCATAAGGTCAACGTTGTTCACCTTCAAAAATTCATTTGTCTGTCTGGCCGTGTGAGAACTGGCATTATCGTCGTGCAAGATGATACGGCGTTTACGGCTATTTTTACGGACTTTGTCAATAACTTCCGGCAAACAAATGGTCGTGTACCAATCACTATTCACGGTACAACGATTCTCCAAAGCAACAGTAGCCACGTGTCTAGTTTTATTAAAAAAAAGAAGCAATCATCGACATCGAGGCATTTTGCACGCGCGCCACTTTGCTTGGTTTCGGCTCATCTCGAAAGACCCATACGTTCGATTGCTACTTTGTTTTGGGATCGTAACTATAAATCCAAGTTTCATCACCTGTTACTATGTCCCACACCAAATTTGACGCCCTTTCATTGAAGCTGGTAAGCATGGCATTGGACCAAGTGACGCAGTCCGTTTTTTGAGCTTCAGTCAAATTGTGTAGGATCCACCGAGAGTACAGCTTTTTCACACCTAAATGTTTGTGTAGTATTGATTGTATTTGACTCATGCCTATCTATGCCTAAAGATGCCCGAATCTCATGGTATGCCACATGCCTGTCTGTTTTGATCATACGGCGCACAGCATCGATGTTTTTATTGTTCACAGCAGTGGACGGGCGACCATCACGAAATTCGTCACTGAGATTCACACGACCGGGTTTGAATTCTGCAAACCAGCTATAAATACTTGTCTTGTATGGTGCTTCATCGTCAAAAGCAGTTTCAAGCCGAGCGAAGCTCTGCCGAGCTGTTGTACTACACTTAAAGTCGTAGAAACCGTACTACGAAAATATTCACAAGTTAAATCCATGGTGATGTAGACAACCAATTTCTAAAATGACGCCACAATATAAAAACAAGTGACAGCCAGATGAAACAAACTGTATTCTACAGCCAAAGAGTTCCATTTTGAAATGTGGAAATTACTTTTTTTTTTTGTTTATGTAAGTGACCAGTTCCGGAAACTTATAGTGCGTCCTATGTATACATCATTGGAATCAGCGATATTTTCCGCGTCTATTGATTTACTTTTCACGTCATTGAAGCACTTTTTTGGCGTTTAATTCCATCGCTAATTCGGGGGTCATTTCCTACATCATAGTGTCAAGCGACATAATTTTCTCAGTTTTTTTTTATGACTCAACCGCTTCTCCTTTTTTTTAAGGAAATTATTTTGATCCTTTCTTACATAGTCCAATGTTGCTTGCGATTGTACTGTAAAGCATTTTGCTTCATAAATATTTTATATCGTACGATATTTGAATTGTTTCACCGCTATATTCGCTTTAACGTCGCTTATACCATTTTACTTTGAACCGATATTAGGTTCGATATCGCTTGACTACTTTTACTTTGAACCGACATTAAGTTCGACGTTGCTTGAGTCCTTTCACTTTAATTGAATAAAATTAGTTAAAGGAAAAATAATTGAGTAGGTATAAAAATAATGTATTATTTGTCTCGTATTGTTAGAATTAAATTCTATAAGTACCTATTTAAACTATTTGGTTATTCGAAAATCTAATAACTCAAAAGAATAAAACGTATTGCAATGAACAAAACCGTAACAAAACACTTGTGTTTTTTTCTAATTCAGCTGTTTTTTTAGTAACTTTTCTTTTAACTACCCAAAAACATCGTCGCCGTTCAATTCATTTTGCCAGACACCAGTTTTTATAAATCTTGTACATAAACCTTTTAACTATATCCCATGACGGCACTACTTTTTAACTTTAGTTATTTTTCCTTAAACAAATTGGAAACCTTGTGACGTATGAGTATTTTTACCTTGATCTGTATTTGCTCCTTACCGTTAAATCCTTCTGCCTTGATCAGAAAGTCATGCTACATGGCTCAAGCGACCCTTAACTCTGTGAAAATTACTCCCTTATCTATGGAATATGCAACAATTAATAGGATTCGCTCTGGACCTTTTGGAGGGAAAAGTGTCGTTTTTATTTTGACTTTCAATTATTTTGTGAAATCTAGTTTAAAGTGGAATAGGATAGTGCTATTGTGCCTTAATCGAAGATTAAAACGCGAAATTATACGAATCTCGAACTAAAATACCCGTATCGGCCCGTTTTAAGGAATCCCGAGTCAATCCAAGCACGCCGCGCCGGCGCCGCCTCAAATTGCCTATCCTCTTTGTGGCGGCCATATTTACAGAAACATAATTAAACTTCATGTTTAGGCTGATGGCTTTGCCAAAGCCTTAATAAATAATAAAAAATAAAAAAAACAATTAATAGAAGGGAGCCGTCAATGTACAGCACAGGAATGTCCGGCCCAGGAATTGGAGACACAGGTCACGTGGTATCATCATTTTTGATAGTCTTTGTTCACAATGCAATGTGATGTCAGATCTTCCAAAATTTTACTCTTCTTTTTTAATTTTTACTTTTTAGCAACTGGCAGCTAGCGGTTTTAATAACTTATTTTTACCCTTTTTAAAAGCCACGGTAAAATGAAGAACCACTTCCAACGAAAAATAAACAGCAGAAAGCTAAGCATAAATACCTCTTTCCTTTACTTTTGTACTTTTTTGAAACGCTTCGTATCTGTTTTGGTTTATTGATTGAATTTGAAAAAGAAAATAAAGTCAATTTATCGTAGAGTCTGTGAGCTGGCTGATCCAGTGCTACCCAAAATTGAATGCTTTTTGTTTTAGCAATTGGGTACTACTACACTACACTACGACTATTAACCTTAAAAATATTAATCTAAGTAATAAATTACCACGGCGTATTACCACGTAACTTAATCTTGTTTGGCGATGCGCATGCTAAGTTCAGGGCAATAACAGAGCACTTTTTTTTTCGTATGCTAAACTTTTATCTAATAATAAAGTTTATTATTTAAACTTTTATTTTTTATTATTTGTTGTATACTATTGGCTCTCTCTTCGTATTAACTTATTTAGTTCTTTTGAAAAATTATTAGTCGACCTTTTGTAATAAAATAATAAAAGTGCAATTTTCGTCTCGGCGAACGCAGTGATGGTTAAGTTGTGCTAAATGCTAGGCTTTTGCCTTCTTATGATCCCAGCATAAATAAACTTTAGCTTTAACATTAACTCTCGAAAGAAGTTTGGCATTATAATGGCTCTCGTCTGTTCAATTTTCTTTTAAACAGAGTTTGATGTTTCTTAAAAAAAAGGATTTCTCCTTTACATTAAATTGCAAGGGTAAATCGTCGGCAATTGTGAGACGATTCGATTTGAAAATTCTGATATAGAGGCTCAGCTATAGAATAGCTGACGTGGAGTTGGGAGTTCAAATTTTTTTTTAAATATATCTAGTCAAAAGTATCCCTACCAATTTTCAGTTTTCGGAATTTTTTAAAATCTCGAATAATCGAAGCAAAAAAGCGCATTTGACAACTATATCTTACCAAAATTGTGTAAAAAAAGCATGCCGACTTAATGTCTTGCGTTTCGATATTCACTGTCATGATATCGAGTGTTGTAAATTTGTCAAAATATTTGTACGTTCTATTTGTTTTTTTATACACTCATAATATTTGTATTAAATTTTAAACATTATTTAGAAGGGGTTTTTACAAAAGTAGTGTTAAACAATAACAATTTCGTATTGTAAACAATAAAACGCGACATCATTTCCGTCTATAGATTTGTTTCTTTCTTGGCCTTCCGGGATTAGTTTTTCAGCTACTTACAAAGTAGGTATATTTATTTCATTTAGTGTATTTTTAACCTTTTATATTTATAAAAAAAAGCCGTGGTAGCCTAATGGTCTTAAAGGGACCTACTGCCTCTCAAGCAGAGGGTCGTGGGTTTGAATCCGGGCTCGCACCTCTGAGATTCTCAGAATGTATGTGCGAAATTTAATTTGAAATTTAGCTTGAGCTTTTCGGTGAAGAAAAACATCGTGATGAAACCGGCACGTTGAAGAAGGTTCACAACCCTCGAGAAGTCCCCAACCCGCATTGGGCCAGCGCGACGGACTATGGCCTAAACCCTAGTCTGAAAGGAGACCCGTGGCCAGCAGAGGAACTTATAAATGGGTTGATGTTGATGATTTATGAACACTTTATAAACTTATTAGTTTATCTGCGTTATCTATCATTCTTATTAATCTTTCGCCGCTGACGATAGTTTTCTGGAAAATGGTGGAATTTAATGCCTTTCTGAATATATTTTGTTCAAATATATCATTCCAGTCACATTTAGGTGTATCCCCTCCCAGTAGGTTAGGTTAGGTTAGGTAGCTTAGTAGCCGTGGTCGATTTCATCCCACGGTGAAGCTAAGAGGAACCCACGGGGCCGGCCGATGGTGCTAGGCTGGCCCGAGGAGGAGGGCGTTCCGCGCGGGACTCGTCTGGTCAGCGCGTCCTCCTCTGGTCAGCTGTCCTCCGCGACCCTAGCGGGGCTGCACCGCTTTCTATGATGCAGTGGCGGCGGGGCCGCGGGGGAAGAGACGTGTCGGTGTGTCGTTGCCGCTCGTCCTATCCTCCGCGGCCGAACGTAGGCGGTTGGACCGTGGTGGGCGCTCCAAGGGACTCTCTTCGGAGAGTCCGCGCGAAAGCGCGTTAGGTGTTGCGGCGGAGCCTGCCATCAGATCCGCCGCGGGGGCTGGGGGAGCAGCCACTGAACTTCACAGTTGAGTGGATCCTGTCCTGGCCCCCCATGGCCATCGTTAGCTAAATTTGAAACCTCGTAACTCCGTTTTTGAACAAAATCCTCACACGGTTACGAGCTTTTCGAATTTAGCCGACAATATAATATTATTTTTTAAATGTACATATGTGCAATAATAAACGGAAACAACTTCATTGCCCAGAGTATAATATCATTGTCATTACCGGTTTAGTCAGGAGTCATTATTTTGTTATTTGGTTTATTCACTCTTCGTCAACAATTCGTTCAATCGGCAATGTAACAATAAGCAAATTACTCGTAATTTACTTCCATTTTTATTGACCTGACATTTGTAAACAAAGAAATCATGATCGAACTAGTTAATGCGAAACGCAGACGGCTTATTAAATTGTTTCTGTAATAATTAGAAAGCAACACGTAATAACATTAGCCAAGATGTATCCCTTTGTAAAGCACATTACATAAATAATACACTGAATTCAGTTTCATTAAGTTTTAAGCGAAGTGTAACATAAAAATTATCCTATTAATGTCATATAATTATTAATTATAATAAAACTAAATAGAATTTGTTTAATAATTTGGAGTATTTTCGATTCAAATGAATATTTTTCTTCTACAAATGGATCTATTTCATTAAAATGATTATTGTTTATATCTTCTGACTGATCTTGCGACTAACGAGTTCTTGACATAGTATGTGGAGTGAAATGATGAAATGGCACATGAAATAGGCTTGTATAGTTCATGCACTACGAACTATTAGGAATTGATAGTGACCGATATGAACTAGTTCGTCTTGTACGGTTTTAATAGTTCATCGTTCTTTTTAGTTCAGTACGAACTAGGAACTGTCTGCGTTGATAGTTCACCTGCCTTTTATTCAGTAGGAAAGGTGCGAGCGGGACAAATAGCGATCTTTCACTGCTTTTAGTACAAGTTCGAGTGGGATGCACGATTGAACGTTCTAAGTCTTCTCTAATACGTATCTACATTATGTATTATGTATATATGTAAGTTTTCAAAAAAGTAAGTGCTCAAGTAGGTTTTGGTAGGTGTGGATACCTACGTATCTGTATGTATAATATCAACCCACGTGTACAAGTATATGAAGTAGTTGTATGAATATACCTAAATATGGTAATATAATCTTTTAAACACACCGTTGTAACTAAAATTCTTGTTTTGTAAAAAAAAAGGATATTTAGTTAAAATGACAGTCTTTAAACATGTAAAATATAAAGGAAAATCAAATAGTACCGATTCCATACAAATTGTATTTTTAAATATTTAGTACAGTATACTATTGACCTCATAATACGAAGTCCGTAGTACATAGTTCATGTGAATAAAATTACTAGTTTGGAGCGTTCGTTCAGTGTCCGAGCAAGGACAAGACGAACCAAAGAGAATTTAAGCACTACGAGGCGAACTAACTAACTAAGGATCTAGATGAACTAAATGAACTAGAAGACCGAGCTAGTTCAGTTGACCGATTGAACTAACTAGGATCGCTCCTTCTAAGAACCGATCAGGCACAAGTCTAACATGAAACAGAGATGTGTGTCTAGTACGTCGCGCAGGAACATACGCGTTGGTATATTTGACGTAGAATTTGAATTGAGTTGAATACATTTTGTGCAGTAAACTTTCGTAATTAATAGATGCAGGCGTTACGTAAGTCCATGTTAATAAAAATGCAAGTAAATCAATTTGCTACTCCGCAGTACCGTACAGTACATTTTCTTTTTTCTTTAAACTTATAAGTGTAGTGTTCTCTTGTAAAGTTACCAAAATGTCGCTTTAGGCTCAATTTATATTGCGGCGGAACGCAATGTAAGGGAGTTTTCGTAATTTTATGGTTAATTGTGTGACGTACAAACTAGATACGAGCCAAAATCTTCAGCGCTCGCGCATGCTCGAGGATGGTCGTGCATTCCGCAGAACATATATTGGTTCGTATCCAGTTTATACGTTACACAATTGACCACAAAGTTAATTTGTTATGTACCTACAATATCGTTACAAATATTCAGTTCATTCCGTTCCTAATCAAATCGCCTTTTAACCGTCAATATATAAATGACACTATCGCTCTCTTGTAAACTTAGTTGCGTTTTGGTATCGATTAAAAACATAAAATGTGTACAACTCGCAGGTTTGAAACTCCATTGGAATCGGTATAGGCAATCGACCGCCACTTTGCGCGGTCCTAGCAATCTTCTGTTATTATTATTCATCATGTATTCATAAAATTACATTATTTTTCATTCTCACTAAAGCCCTTCGTGGCCGTCCTCTTTCAACGTTGCCTTCCACTTTAGCTCTATACGTCTCTTTCGCCACTCTACTTGCATTCTTCGCTCCATGTGCCCAAGCGTGCCCAAACTACCTCAACATACCCTTCCTCATTTTTTGGTCACTAAGGGCGCCTGTCACGCCACTACCACTATTTTCATACAATATTTTGAAGGCGCCGCGCAAACGTGTCGTGTTGGATACAAACACCCTGCAATTAAAAGCGAATATTCTATTCTAATTCCATTCTAAACCACATCTTTCACAGGTCGGTTAACATTTTTTATGAGGGACCTCATACTACTAAAGTTTTTCATTAACGTCCTGAAAATAAATGTAAATAAAAGACAACATTATTTTAGTACTTTTTTTTACAAAATACCAAAATATTCTTCGACTATTGGACATAAATACGAAATTTAAAACAGTGCTTGTTACAATACCAGACAATTTCTCCACATTATTATCCAAAGTGTTAACAAGATGTAAAGCATGAAAGAAAATACATGATACGGCCGTGTTAAAATTAAAATACAAAAAACGTTGAACTATACTAACGTTTTGCATTCGACAAAGGCGGCATAGGCTATATACCTTGAGTAAATACAATCTTATACCTATGTGACCATATCAACAAACACTCAAACACGGCTTTAGTATAAAAATCAGACTTAAAAATTTATTTATAGCCCGTAAACAATACGAGAGATGGTACACAAAGCTCAATCGAGACATCATAACATCAACCTAAACAATATTACTTCTGTTAAATAATAATCCTTTAACAACTATAAGACACAACAGTAGCTTGCGAGATAACTTATCTCAAGAATCATACAGACTTAAAAGTAGCAACGAAGACTTCCAAAAGTCAACAACCACTACACAAATTTAAACGCACAGTCTGTACAACCTTATAATTCATTTTCATGTTATCTATCAATTACAGTTGCTAGTGATATAATTTAGGAGGCTAAACGGTGTATAGATTCTTGGTGGCAGAACTGTGTTTCACCATGGTGTCGCGATGAACTTGGAAGCCGATCTTGCCGTGAATGCCGAGCTGCTCTTTCAGTTTCCTGCCGATCTCAAGGTTAGCGTGCTGCTTTGATGCGTCTGCTGTCCATATACCTGAAATCGTAAGTAATTTCATTTTGTTATAATTCAAAAATATAACAATCATTTATTTGATTATCACAAATTTCACGCTCCGTGGTCAGGGGTTGACTCGATTGACTCTCAACAGAGTCAACCATGGAGCGTGCAACCCTTGAAATATCAGGAAAATAAAAAGACGTATAGTGGTAAAAAGCCTGAAATTAATAATAATCATTTAGTGAATAACCACAAAAGCCTTAACATCATATTGATTTATTTCTTATTCAGATATTTCACGACCGCAATGGACCAACTGTTAGCAAAAAGGACACTTGATGAGGAGGTCCCAAGCTCAATTTCCGTTAAAACCAGTTTGAATGAAAGAAACAATTTTTTTATAATTATTAATATAAGGACACACTTGGAAAAATCCTTTGATCTGGCTGATTTACTCCCTTTCCTCCTCTTCCTCTACCTCCCAATCCTTTGACCACTCCATCCCTGGTTCGTTCCATGGCTCAGATGGAATAGCGTCTGCCACAGTTTGCTAGAACACGTTGGTTTGAATCCAGCCAGATCAAAGGAATTTTTTCTAAGTGTGCAATCTTTGTATTAATAATCATAAACTAATGGAGTAAGTTCACAAAAAGTAATTGAATTTCATGGTGGTAAAACATCCTGACATTGAATAAACTTAATTATAATTTTTTCATTTATATGTTTGTAATAATGGTGCTGTGAGGTTCTTAGTATATTACAAATAACCCTGAGTATATCTCTACTGAAGACTTACTTAATGTAATAAAATGTGTAATGTACACTTACCAATCTTATCAATCTTTGCTCTAACGTTGACGACGGCGCCACAAATCTCATCTGAGTGCTCGAAATTTTCGCCAATTAGTAGAAGTACCTAGAATAGACAATTGCTGTTAGCGCCATAATAATAATAGTGCTACAAACAACGAAACTAATTACTTGGTCTCAAATTAGGGAACTCCCTGTACTGTGAGTAGTAGAACAACGAAACTAACTCCAGTATTACAAAAAATTTAAAAAATAATAAAATAAAAACATTTTTAAGAATTTTGTGTTGTTGTTCTAATATGACAATTTTTTGTAAAGTAAAACCAGGCTTTTTGATTTGAAAATCTTTTCAAATTCTAATAAAGTAACAATAAAATTATATAAATCCCTCTTCATTATAATCACCTAACATTAACCATCAATTGTCTTATTGAAATGCCCTGTTCACCCGAATGACCATGTGACTGGTCAAAAATAAAAAGCAAACAAAAGCCAGACACTGTTGGCTGGATATGCATCCATAAAGCATATCTATATCCGGCTTTGTCTAGACACCTGGCAATGCTATTCCCAGGTGACTCTCCAATTTCACTCACTAAAATGATCCCAAAGGGTCATTCAAGAATAAAGTTAATAGGCATTTTTGACAATTTTAGTTGGAATCTTTCCCTTTCTTTACAAAGTTCTATTGAGAGGGTTCTGAAGAACACAGATTAGTGAGTGTAGCTCACTTTCATAATGTCGAACTTTTTTCTATAATAGCTAAGTGACAGGACGAATAAGACGTGTCTAGTGGTAAGCTGTCCGTAGCAGATGCAGGGCCACTCAGAGCTTTAAATCACAAAGATCTGAGGAGCACTGCGCCCAACACCCCGGGACATAAGTTGACAACACCAGGTTTCTATAATTTCACCCTTACACTTTGAAACTGCAACACAGTAATGTTCACATTACTGCTTGGCAGCAGAAGTAAGTAGGTAAGGGGCAGTACTTCCCTGGACAAACTCTTTCACAAGGAGCTGTAAAGCTACTAAAACTATCATCTATCTCTTAACCACTAAAAATCTTAAAACACAAAATTGTAAACCAAAGTACGCAAAAACATTTTTCCATCAAAATGGCAAGTTATGCCCATTTGTGATAATGGGCACAAACACCACATGAACTAATCACCGCTGCGGTGCCAGTTACATATCACTAATTTTCAATAAAACAATTCAGAATATATGTCATCCAAAGTTATTAACTTACTTGCGTGACTAACAGTATTTTGCTACCATAACATTGATCCAGATAATCCAGAATCCACTGACCATGCTAACAGGGATATCAGTTGATATTAAATTATATTTATTTATTTATATTATTGTACTGGAGCATATATAAATAATAAGACAATATTTACCACATCCAGCCAAAACCGATCAAGATCAGAATTTCGCTGCTTCTTCTCCAAGCTGATGAGCCACCTACCGCCCATTTTGTTAGCGTCATCCTCCCACATGGGGCGAATTCCTTGCTTGAATACTGCATAATCGTGACCTTGGCGCAACTCTGATGGTAGCTTAATATGGTGGTATAGCCTGAAATTTATAAAATTCAACCATAGAGGATGCAAGACTCACTGTAGGGCAAACATACCCCAGACAGAGGAGAATAAAGACAAACAAATTTAAGAATATCCTAAAGTACTTTAATTCTTTTTAGTCTTGGCTCTCAAGTGTAGGTCACTGGTTACAGCGATGAAAGACCAGCAGAAGCTGTGCCTATATGTCAGTTCATGTTTATTTTGGTGTAAAAAGAAAAAAATATTAATTGGGTATGATTGGAAAGAGTCACTCATAAATAGATAATCAAGTAAATGTGACATTATATTATCACTATCTACGGAGGTCAAGTCAATGTACAAAATCGAAATTCAATACTACCTTTTCACAAAATGATATATAAAACTTAGCACTATATCTTTTATACAAGTGGAATACGTATTAAAAACTGGAAGCTAACCTCCAGAAATCTTCAACAGTGTCGAAAGTTGTAAGCTCTATGAGGTTCTCCTCCCACGTTTTATTACGGTCATTGTCGTAGAACCAGAGACTCCACGTGTTCTGAAGCGGGTGCTTTATCAAGAACTCTGGTGGCACTTCATTGTTGTTCGTCTTGTTCTCCACAGCTACCGCCGATCCCTTAAACACACAGGTCATCTTACGAAAACCTAACCTATACTAACTTATTCCTAACTGTATAAATAACTTCGCACAGCAAAGTTTTCACTTTATTACACAGTATTAATGCTAAAATTTCAGAGCGGAAGCACTTTTCAACGGAAATACCGAGAGAACATGAAACAAATGCTACAGTGAAAGTTTGTCAAGCCACATCAGCAAAAACTGCCGAAAGTAATAAAACTACTATAGAACTAATGCGAATAGAGGGTAGAATAATTATTCTGTGATTTATATTATCTTAGTCTACCCACCTCTACTTCTTCCGTTGTATTTCCAGCCATATCACAAGAATCTCTCGATCCCAATTTTTACAAAAAAGACAGATAGAGTGTTGCCACTTACCAGTATTACCGAACTACGATTTATTCACTAAAATATTTTTTATATTCGCTTTTCTTTACAATTTTTTTTACGTATATTTAACTTTTTGGAATGCTATTTACTAATTTTCTAGGTGAGTGAAAGGATCTTTAACAATAATTTCCTAACTTAAATATATAAACATTAAACAATTTCTTTTTTCTATGAAATCCATTTTTCCAATCCAAAAATTTTAAATGCTACTATGAAATATCCAAAATATACCTTATAATTTTGAAAAATCTGATAAAAGCAGTAATTACTTTACAGATGAAAAACAAGCACTCTAGGCTTAGGAGAACTTTAGGTGACTCAATAGTATGTATAAACCCTGTGTATCCCCAAATGTATATCCGAACACGTAGTAATTTTCAAGGGCAACACAATTCATGAAATGTCAAATCAATTTGTTTCTCTGAAAGAAAACCGCAGAACGAATCCATTCATTTCCCTCCTCCGTTTTTCCCGGTCCCGTCCAGATTTTCCATAAAACAAAAGTACAATAATTGTTCAAATCGCAAAATGTCGGTCCAAACGTTACTTTTAGATTTCTCTTTAGATCCCGCCCGGTTGGGTGACGAGAACGGCCAAAAAACTGTTTTCAATCAACTGGAAACGGTGCTGAAAGATTATATTCCGAACCTTATATTAGCCGCCGAAATTAAAGTTGATGGCGGTTCGTTGAAGCTGTTGACTGGAAAAAAGGGGTCCACTGTGGCTGTAAGACTGTTCGACCGAGGCCTTGTTACGGTGAACATCGAATATTATAAGGAAGATTCCGAAGAACCTTTAATAAACTTCAAGGTGAGAATACCGCAATATAATATAACCTATTTCAGTTCATGACGCGCGCAGGCGTTTATCTTGATTAAATATAGCGCTTCCAACTGGCATCTAATAAGAGCGTCATTATTTGTGTTTACTGTTATATTAGACAACTGTTGACTGATTTTAAATTAATATGATAACTACTTTGTATGATTTTGCTATTTTATTTAGTACCTAGTCCCAATTTAAACTACAAAAATTCTAAATAATACAAGTTTATACAAAGTTCTTTCAAATGTTCCATACAGTACAGGTAATAGAAAACCAAGTATATTTTAAAATGTTTTTATTTTGTCTACCTACAACTTTCTGTACTTTCAAACTTTGTCTCAAACTAAACGGATTTGGAATACTAATTTATAAATAAATGTTCATTAATTACCTACATAATATTATGTATATATTAATAACAAATTAGTACCTAATGGAATATGAATTTTCCTGGTGATTTATGTGATGGTTATGATAAAATTACATAAAGTAGGTGTACTTCTTTCTGTGCTAATATTGCCAGACAGCATTAACATCCCAATAACTTGAATACTGCAAGGTCTTTAGTTCTGCTTTTGATAAAGGAATGATGCATTAAGTTTAAATATCTTTTCTGCAACTAATTTCGTAATTATAATAAAAATTGTTTTAATGATTTTTTAAGTAATTCTGGTAATAATATAACAAACCATAAAATATCACTTCCATTGTAGATTTAATTGAAAACACTGTTAAAAATTATAACCGTTGAACTATAATCATTCAGCATTTATAATTTTTAATAGTGTCTTAATTTCAATTGATATGCATGACCACACCAAAACACGTAAATACTAATTTATTTATGGCAAACATAATAATTTAAACATTTTATTAATTTTGTTCTATTGATATGGATTACTGTCTTTGTTTATCATGTCTAATATTTTGATTGAAGAACTTGTATTGAACTTGTTACCATGGTCATGAAATATATTTTTTTTTAAATTAACAATGTCAAGAAATAACTTTGTGTTGCCATGCATAAGTACCTTATCAAATATTAACATAAAAAAAATATTTTAGAGAATGATTTACCAATTATAAAGAAACTTGTAGATCAGTAAACAACTTAAATATGTAACAAAGATCAGTTTGCTTGATTCTCTAATTTTATAATATTGCAAATAATTTTAAAAACAAAGAAGTCATTTCTTTTGTGTGGACATACTTTTCTTAAAAATCATTCTCTAAAATAACTGCTCATAGCTACATGGAGGTTGAGCGTAACATTTATTTTTCTAGTGTTCTAAACTACTGGAAAGTTCAATCAAAAAATTCATGGATTGCGAAAGATTCAAAATGTTGCCATCCATAAAACGCGGATATAAATACGATGTATACTTAACTAGTTCAGGTTAGACCAAATTCTACTCTTTAATCAATCTTTGTTTTGTCCTTTTTTTATCCCCAAAATTTTCCCTCCTTTAACCAAATGTTGGGTGTTGAGACCTTTACAACATTGGCTACATATTTTTTGGTTATATCCTCTTTTTAATATTGGCTGACACTAAATATTTGCTTCAGAAGATTTTTTTTCTTTTTTTTTATTCAGCTTCAAAATATAGATTATACTATTGTTGGTAATATATTTAATTATTATTTTACACTTTACACCTATTTGCATAGAACTCTTTTTTTATTAAAATATTTTGTAGCTATGTATTATAGCTATTTAACTTCGTAGCTATACAACTTTATTAATATGACATAATTTCAAGTCTGTCACTTCATTTTTTTTTTTCATTTAGATTTTATGTAGTTACCGTTTTTGTACCTATATTATTCTTAGTAGTTAATTCAATTGAACAATCATTATTTTAACAACACCAATGTCTATTATACTTGGCACAAAATTATATTTCAAATATTACTTATAAACAAAAATGTTAGTAATTCAATGTAAAGCTTTCACTGTACATAAGAAGCATGTTTGATGTACCCCATCCAAAAGAATCCTCTCAGTGTAAACTAACTTCTAACAAAAGAATCTTCCAGTATCTGTGAAGACGCTCAACCTTACATTACCCTTATAAAATTTAAACCCCCCAGTATCAATCACTGCATGTTAGTCCACCCGCATTTCAATTTGTTTGGTTTTTTTCCGTTTTTTATCGATAATTTTTTCAATAGTCGGCGAGAGTATTGGAAAACCAGCTGAAAAAATACATGACTGTCATAAAATCTCAAGCTTATCCTCCTCTCAAAAGATGCCTGTTCGGCAGGTACTATCCCACCTCAGGTAAGACATTTTAATTTCAACATCGGTGTAGTACGCGCCTATTTCAGACGTACGATTCTAGCCTACTACTAATATCAGTAAATACACAAACACATGCAAACTCACATTTGCACACACACACACACACACACACACACACACACACACACACACACACATACGCACACACACACACACACACACACACAAACAAACGTACCCCACACACCTCTCTCTCTTTCTCACATACATACACACCATGCGCGCGCACTCAAAATTTTATAAATATAGTACGTTTCGACTATCTTAAGATATCTATAGATAATCGTATATATCGTTATCTATAATCGATAAGACACCGGAGTCCGTATTAATAGATTAGATATCCACTTTCTCACCCATTACAATTTATTTTTATAAATACATTGTTCAAAATGATGTTTGGAGTTGGTATACAATTTTTTATTACATATTCTATTACTTTTAAATATTATTTTGTGTTTATGTATTTATCAATAATAAATGTAAATTCATCAAAATAACAAGACAATACAATAATACTAAACTAACATTAAATTGCCTGATCATATTTCAGTTTGCGAACTTGTTTATGGGCAGGCGTGCCGTGTATGGGACACAAATTTCTTGACACAAATAAACGTGATAACTTTATCTTTATTATGGGAGGTTTATTTTTTACTGCTTTTTTAAGCCTAAAATTATCTGGTGTCACACTAGGAAAATCCCGGTGTTATGATGTTCATACAGATCATTTCGTTTCGTGTCCTTCACAGATCGATACGGTACTTGGTACTTGTACTTGGTGTAACGGGCTGGTGTCCGTGTGATCGATACGGTTCTTATTTTTTCCCAGATCCCAGATATTACTGAATTAAAGAGACTAAAAGGCTGAATTAGTTCAGTTGGGATTGCTCCCTTTAAGACCACACTGGCAAAAGTCTACCAGATACCCCATTTTGTTTATTTTTCATCGACTTTAAAAAAAGGAGGAGGTTCTCAATTCGTCTGTATCGTTTTTGTGCGTATATTACGCGATATATCCGACATTTGTGAAGCTTTCGACGATATTTTTTACGTTGAAAACATTGACTTACAATTATATGGACGTCGGGTCCGCGCTAAAAAGTGTCCGAACTTATAGGGCGTTAAAATCGTATACAGAGCGTCATTCACGCTTTAGTCTTCGTTTGTTCGACTGACAGCGAAGCAAGCAAAATTAGACAGTACTGCGATGACATTACAATTTAAATTCAACGTTTTAGCTTTTTCATATTCCTTTACATGTCACTACGTTTAAATAGGTCGACTTGGGGCATTTTTTTCGTGGTTTTTGTATTAGACCCGTCGTCCATTTATTTGTAAGTCAATGGTTGAAAAGATTTAAAGAAAATATTCTACCTAAGCGCGTTTGCACATTGCATCCGATTCGTATTCTCTAGATTGTATACAAATCTAGAAAATTCTGACCCACTTCGAATGTCGCTCGTGCACTAAGTCGTATTTGAATCCGAGAAAATACAAAATCGCTTCTACACCTAGAGATTATTTTATAATATTTTAGAAACAGTAGAGCTCCTTGTGAAAGAGTTCGTCTTCGAGATTTCTGCCACCAAGCAGTAATGTCAGCATTACTATGTTCCGGTTTTGAAGGGTAAGGGTGCTGGTGAAATTGCAGGCACATAGGACATGTCAACGTACGTCTCAAGGTTGACGGGCGCAGTGGCAGTGCCCCTCAGATCTTTGCGATTTAAAGTTCTGAGTGGCACTGCAACTGTTATGGACAGGCGTGTAGCTCACCATCAGGCGCACGACTTGTACGTCCCGTCACTTGACATTATGATCCCAGTGACATTTCGGTCCGTCATGATCAAACATCCCTCCGAAACAGTTACTGTCAAATAAGTAATATTCGGCCAAATTAAAAAACAATATGAAATATGAAGCTTGTTTCGCATCATGCGTCATTTAATTTAGTCGAGTATACGCCTGAGACGAATCGGACGTAGGGCGCAAACGTTCTTATTGCGGCAAATTAGAAGATGAATCCGGTTTCTTGAATTTCACCCACTTAGGCCCAATTTATACTACGTATGCTCAAGAATGCTCACGCATTCCGCGGAAGATTTTGGCTCGTATCTAGTTTCTACGTTACACAATTAAACATAAAGTTAAATACGAGTATGCTATGTATGAATATCGTTACAATAATTCGCTTCCATTCCGTTCCGTCGCAACATAAATTGAGCCTAAACGTTAACAGATGTCAATAAAACTTGGCAAACATATGTAATTCCAAAGAAAATAACGTGTTATGGTTACTTATACTGATCTGTTGATGGAAATGGCATACAGATGAGAGGAACTCTTCTTTAAAGTGTTTGGGCACTTATGATTCGATTTGACGAGAACTTCCATATGCGTTTGAGTTATCGTTGAGGAGACCGCAGTAACGAACACAACGGAAGCAGATAAACTTTTGAGGTCTGTTTAAAAAAAGTAACATTTTGGTCGTGAGTTGCCGTTTTTCAGAAAAACCGGGCCAATTTACAGAAAGCTTTAATGTCGTAGTCTGGTGGAAACCAAATACAGATTGACTTTATCAATTATTCACAATACACAAATTAAAATGCGTCTTTTTGCACCGATGCAAACGCGATGCAGGCAGTCGCTAACCGTTACCTTTACACGCGCGCGCGCGGCGCGCGCGCGCGATTTCAAACAGGCAGCGATGCAAACACGATGCCAGCGCGCGACTGCATTGCTATACTTGGGATTTATGGGCGTTTGCATCGATGCTATCGCCTATAAATCGCAAGTGTAGCGATGCGATCGCGAGATTCACAAACACGCGTTTGCATCGCTGCTAAATTTCGCCGCGTGTAACCACTCTTAATGTGGAGAAACAATTTACTAACAGTAACAGTTTCCATCTTTAAAATATTTTAAAATTTTGTCTAAGAATTGGCGCGTATCTACGGTAATCGAGACACATCCGTTTATATTTTTAGTAAAGCTTTTGTAATAACATTAGCACCGTGCATTGCCTTTTTTTTCTACACAGTGTACTACATAGACTACATAGTTTTATATGTAATTTTTTTAAACATTGTTTGACGTAGTATTAAGTGTATAAAGTTGCATGTCAAAGCGTACATTCCTGTGCTTTAATATTTATCTGTATTAATTTAAAAAATAATGTTAAATTTACTCCCTTTAGTTCCTTTGACAGTCATTTCGAAGGTATACTGAGCAAAAATGATTTATGCATTTAACATTTGCGGGTTACAAGTAATCAAACTACACTTACTTAAATATGGAATTTAAAAAAATGTGATTGATCTTTGTAAACAGATCTTTATTCACGTTTACCATTTGTAAACAACTTGCTGGAAGCTCTTATTAATAGGGAAATAAACGCCAAATGTTTCTTACACCAGAGTTTAAAATTGGCAATACACTGTACACATAGTGGATAATACAATATGGATATTTCTACGAAATGAAGTTAATTATTATAATACTTCCTTCTGAAGTAAAAGGTAAAAAACCTAAACAAAATAGGTTCTTTTTTATTTATATTGTTAAGTATAATATTTACTCTAAATCCACTAATAAAACAAATAGGTACAATAGTATAATCCCTGGATTTCAGAAGGAAGTCTCATTCACTCTGTGTCTATTATGGCTCGAGGTTTAAGTAAATATATTCCAATTGTTCCTAAAACTGCTGATTCTCAAGGGAACCACTATCAAAGGAACTACCTACAGACAACAGTCAATTACGCCTGAATTGCCCTTTTGCCTACTAAACCAGTTTAAAAAAGGTTTTCTAAAGTTTTAGCTGTACATTTTAAATTTCTGTCAATATGGTATCACATCTTTCTTATCATATCGTTAGCATTCGATACCGAAAGTTGTAGCGTACGTACCATTAATTACACCCGTAGAATTATCATCGGTCTGTTCTTTGAAGAGAACCTATTTCGACATCTAAAGATCTCAATAAATTGTACTATACGTTCCGAATATGTGATATTATGATGGTGTTGGCGCTGGAAGTCAATACAAACTTAAAAAATATTTAGGGATTTGTGAAACATTTTTCCACAAATCCTCACTACGCTGCGTACGCAGTGGTGAGGTATGGAAAGAGTTTGAACAAGCCCCGCTGGTAGACTTTCCATGGTGGGGATATTGGTGGAATAAACCATCTTACTCTTCGTTGCACCGCTTTTGATGTCGTGACAACCGATAATTGAAAAGCCTTTAAAAACTAATATAAGTTTTAAGCATGTTTGCGAATTTATACGTGTGGCTAAAACCTTGGAAAATTTTATATAAACAACAATGTCCTAAAACCTTAAAACCGTATTATGTGTACTATGGGCCATAGCTAAAGCTGTAGAAACTCTTTTTTTTTTGTTGAAGCCTGTACTGTAATTCAAGTTGAAAACTTAAATAGCCATTTGTGTAATTTGGCTAGGTGTACATATAGTTTGTGCCAAATAGCATGACAATAGCGATCAGTCACCCCTTCCTACCACTGTATACGTCATAATGTGAAAACGATACTCTCCAATGTTCCTACGTGTGAAAGTATTATCGTTAGCATATCGTGGTAGAGGTCACTTTGACTTACAGATGACAGTTGTAAACATTTAAATAGTTTGATAGCAAGGAATTTGCCCTTCATTTTAAAAAAAATACATAAATATACATAATAAAAAACGTAATATTATAAAAATATTGTGCAAGGTTGTCACTTTCAGAATCCGATTCGAGAGAGTCACTGTCGCTTACATTTATCATAAATTAGTCTACTGTTTTATCGATATTGTGGTCAACACGACGAATATTGATAGACGGCTTTTACTGGATTTACCGGTAGATGGTCCTGCCACTGATAATCACTGATTCAATGTTTTGTTCTTCGTTTCATTTAACTACAAATAAGTACCTATACTGTGAATAAAAGGTCGACAAAACAAAAACAAATTAATAAAACAAAGCAACACCTAAAGTAACAAAACAAAATACCAAAATACGTGAATATTTCCGAAATTCGATCAAATGCAAGCGTACACCCACACGGAATACGGTTTAATAGATGTAAACGAAAATGGGCGAAAGGTTGTGCGCACCTGACGTGAAAAGCGAGTAAAAACAAACAGGGATAACTTCGAATTGGGTTTTTTTAGACGCCTGTGGTATTTTTTATACATGGAAATTGAAGTATTTTATATTTTTGAAATTATAAAGCTAAAGACACTGTATTTATAGTTATTATGAACTGAAAATTAAATATCAGTTTTATTAAAATCTAGTATATTATGCTGACGTAATATAACATTTATTACTTTTATACCATATTTTATATTATCACAATAATAATAAATATAATTAATCTTAATTACAATACTGCCGTCCACTAACTAAAACGCGGCTAAGTGACAAATGGTCAAATATTCATTTCAAATAGCAAAAGTTGGAGCACAAAATTATCTTTTAAAAACAGTTAAAATTAGTGTTCGACTTATCGGTACTTACCCTAACGACGCATAGCTCAAATATCAATAAACAATTTCAATTTTCTGAAACTGGGTTTAGGTTTTTTATGATACCTCACAAAAATGTTTGAAATTGAATGTTTACAACATTCAAATTCACTTACCCATATGCCTCAGTTTCATTTAATTTTTAAGTTACATCATTGACTTTTATTATGTTAATCACGCGACGCCAAAATTGCGACAGTTTTGTAGGGAATCGGCGATCGGTCGCTGCGAATTGTGTTTTTGGGATGAAAGTCGGTTGAATGATCGCTATTGCCATGCTATTTGGCACAAACCATATTATCCCATCGTAAATTTCCAAAAAGTGATAAGTATTAATTAGTTATGGCTTACATAGCCAGCTTTAACTTTCTGTGAAACCGACTGAAATGACGATTTAATGGGCAATTGCTGTTTGTATTTACGTTGATACATTAATTTGTAAATACGAGTCTCAAGTGGTATGGTTACGATCTAGTACGGTTCAGTCATTATTATTATTTTTCGTGTACAAAGTTATATTCTACAAATATTATGATTAAAGTGTCGGCTTTTGTTAAAATAAATATTTATTGAATTGTAGTACTTTTTTGAATACATATTAATAAACTTGACTGTACCAAATAAGTATCCAATAACCATGACTTTTCCAAAGGTGGTACTTATGTAGAACGACGTCTGTTGACACTGCAATTGTGGTTCCAGACGAGCGACTTTTGGAGTACGACATCGACGGCGTGCTATTCGACGAGCAGTCCCCCTTCCAGCGCGTCCAGATCGTGCACTCAAAGACGCTCGGCAATATGCTAGTGCTCGATGACTTGCAGAGTAAGAACACCCATACTTTTGTATCCTAAGTAATGGATCAAATGATCACCCATATTTATAGTCGTCACAATGTACATTTATTTCTCTCGTGAGTGGTTGTCTAGGTATGTGTGTGTCCGTGGCACCCGCGACACAGGGTTTTCCCTAGTGCGGAGCTGTGTTGAGTGTGTGCGTTATTATTAAAAATAAAAAATTGATTAATGAAAAAGTCTGCAGACAATTATGTCTCTTATAATGTGTAAATAAAGTCGCTTTAATTACGATTTTAGTCGTCACAAAATAATGGCACCTTTTGACACTTGTCATCGTAACGTAAATAGGAATGTGAACTAAACATATCGGTAGCTATATGAAGTATTCTCCAGAGGAATCGATTTAATATTTTATGAGTCTACGATTGTTTATCATATTTTTCGGCTCATTGGTCTTCAGTTTTAGACAGAACAATTAACATAATAAAGTTTTAATATAAACAATAAGTGTGTTAAATAATCACAATGACAGTCTGTAGTTAAATAACAAAATTCTGAAGTAAAACAAAAAACTTCATAGTTTAACTTTGTACTCACCTTCATCGGAAGATGAGCCAAAACCATCAGTTGAGCAAGTATCACTTGTATGTATAATTATTTGATTTTCAATCATATTATACCAATGTTAACATCTTTCTCACAATCAAATTCGAATGCGTTGCGTTAGTTTGATGATGTTTTTGAGTAAAATGGAATTGTCTCGGTAAAATTCCGCGATTAATTGATTACAACACCATATTTATAATATAGTGTTGTAACCACAGACATATCGACGCCGCAAGTACAGCAATTTGTATGAAAACCGAGCGTGCTACATTTTATGTATCCACCACGACGTCACAAGAACCATTTAGTGATGGGAAACCTCCTTCCGCGCTAAATCGATTGATTGAACGGAATGCACGTATTCCATTCAATTAATCGATTCAAGTATTCGTTGATTACAGGTAGTCGTGAAATATTAATATAGTAGAAAAATACCAAAACAAGATAGTATAACTGTCCTTTATTACAAGTTGTTTTAAAAAAAAATTGATTAAGTACTTAAAAATTTAAACTTCAAATATTAAAATTATTGTCCTTGAAATAAAATAAGCTTATTATATAACCGTCATTTTGTAATAGAAGATCTTATCGATTGACTTAAATAATGAAAACGCACGTCAGTATATGAACTTGCAACTGCCTTAATTGAATTTACTAGATGGTTTTCCGCCGGTGATTGATCAAATTGGTGAATGGCAAGACAACTGAAAATGTTACTGCTGACAAAATATCGTAAAATCTTACTAATCAGAAAAGGTTTACTTAATGTCGGCCTCGTGTAAAGTTTTTGTGATTTAGTCATGATTTCTCGGATTTCTATCTCTGCTACTCTGCATATTGGGATAGCATCTTGGTAGGATAAACTAGACCACCTTCGACCTTAAAAGCAACGAACTCATACGTATACCAACTCCAGGTTTTTGTAAAGACAGCGCACTGTTACATTCTTCGCATTTTATATTTTTTGTATTACTCGTACTACATATCCGACGATGCATGTAATTATTTGCTCACTATATTCGGACATTCGAGGCAACGTGCTGCAAAAATTATCGAAATTACAGATACTACCGATAACAGATACTACAAAACCGAAAATAAAAACGAAACGTTACTAAACGTTGTAACAAAAGAGTTATAGAATATTTTTATAATATTGCTACGGTCATAATAATTTTCGTCCTTTTGTTTTCAAAATCGATCAGAATCGAGAGTGTTGCCTAACGTATACATCACTAAATGTTAAATTTGGCCAAAAGAATGTACAAGCGGCCGTACCACGAAACTGAATGCATTATACAAAAGTTCGTTCGTTCGATATTCATGGCGTATTAACAAAGGATCACAAATATATCGCACCAAGTAAAAGCCGCAATGTATTACAAATCATATGAGGCACTGGGTTGCATATTTGTTTTCTCGAAATTCATACAAAACCAAAATAATTGTTTTTAAAATAAATTATGCATCTTCTGATTACAAAATAACTTACCCGTAGAAGGAAACGTCCCTGTTTACACGTTTACCCACAGTTATGGTGTTTTTACAGTTTATAATGGCAGAATTATGCATTTTTCGCGTTTTCGACTGGTGTTTATCTACGATAACGGTCGAGCGCGTTCTGAAGTGTAGCAGCGGCAAGTAAGTGAATTTCACTTACTTTGGGTACGCGAAGCACGTACACTTGCTGCGACTATCTAGATAATATCTGTAATTGTAACCTATTAATCGCGGAAAAGAAAAATATTTCGTTGTTGTTGAGTATGTGCGTTATATTTCGTATTTCTTTGACTGATTTTTTCTCTCTATCTCCACCTTCGTAATCTTATTTCCAAATTTCCTTTTTATGTTATAAGTTTCCTCGTTTTAAAGACAAAAGTCAAAAACCTTGGTATGTGGCTGAAACGTTGAAACCGCGAAAATCCAACAGAACAAAAAGCCAAAATAAAAAAAATACTATGTACGTCATTTGTTACAGCTATTTTTGTTGCATATCTACAATATTTAGTCGATAAAATTACAAGATTGGAGGATGTACGTTATATTTTTCTGTGTCTAATGGAGCAATAACCGTTTTTGACATAATTCTATTTATGCCATTCTTCCATGAGGGATGCGATATGTCAGTTTGTCATAAAAATGTTTAACCATGTGCTCGTTTTAAATAATCTTAAGTTCAATATTTTTGTCTCAAATTGCGTATTAACACGTGTCTCCCACAGGGGTAAGCAGAGACCATGGAAACTGCTAGAAAGTGCCTTCGCCTCCTCCACTCTCATCATCCTCATACATGCTCGTTTATTCTTGATACTTTTAACCCGGTACTTCTAGTATTACATCTCGGCATACATTTTCAAATAAACTTCTATAGTTGTAACGCTGTCATTTCAACGTTGCTTGCGGTGACGCGCCGCTTCTACGCACGGTGTTGCATTTCGTTCTGATTTATATGTCGTACAACATTTGGATTTATATACGCAACGTCACAACACAACGTCATGGCAACGTATCGTGCGACATCGCTCTTATAGCACAAATGACGCAAGTGAACGAAACGCGTGAACCACGTTTAGACGATTGAGATCTACTCTATTGGGAGAAAAGCTGAACTAATGGCTTACACAAAATAATATCGATTGTCGTACAAAATATAGAGCGGGATCGGTTTTAACAGTATGCTTTTAAAGGATCAACCCTGAACGGCCCCCGTGATGAACATTTGGGCAAAAAATACAGTTTTATTGATTTTTTTTCCAGTTTATGTAATGTTCCAATTAGCTAGTATTTCACAGTGGGTATGGCGGGAAAATTATTCCCGAATGTCCCATCAGGAGAATTTCTATAGTATATATAATCCCTTTGAAGTATTAAGACGCAGCACTAAAAATAAAGAAAATGTAGAAAAAAAAGTTTTGGCAAGGCCTAAACTAGCAGCTAAGATTATTTCAATAATTTTTTTGAGAATTGAAAAATTGCCAAGTTCTTTAAAACTAAAAAAAATCCTTGCCAAGCAAGTGACGCTGATTTTACCGGAAGACACAAACGAAACTTGTCCATAGTTCTTGTAGTCCACTAGTTCACAAAAAATATAGTAGAAAAGAAATTTCTGTTAACTTTCATAATGGTCACATTTATTACAATTTCAATATAATCTCCGTAGATTTCAGTCACCGCGCAATAAATGATAATAAATAATGTGCCAAACACATTACCCTTAAATTAGGTGTGGACACAGTTCCTGGTATCAAACTAGGGAATTCCCTGTATTATGAGTGCCAGAGAAACGGAATTCACTCCTGGGCGCTTACCAGAACACCCAGACCAGAACCAATTTAGAAAAGCTCATCCACCTCTCTCCCAACCTCCACATCCAACGCCCACAATGCAAACCCAGGGTTTGCAGGTCGTCTAAAATCAATATGGTAACGAAGCCTGAAATATGTATTAATATGTCTTTTGCAGATATTTCAGAGGCTGATTTAGTATATACGGAGACTCTAATGAAGAGAGGCAAGGAGAACTACGAGGGGAAGGAAATCGTTATTCTGGGTGAGTGATTGATTAATGGACACATTTAGGCCGGCAACATACTACGCCGACGAACCGCCACGGCTTCTCGACTCGGAACTAGCGGACGAAATGCCCCGATGCCTTTGAAACATTTTGTTTCCATTCGTCTTGTTATTTTGTATTTCATTTGTCAGTCAATTATTTGTACGTTAATTGTAACAATATCAATAATGCAAACAGGGTTAGAAGTCGTAACGGTACATTCGGTTTTAACCAATTTACATGTACGACTGAATGCATTAAACAAAAGTACGAGATCAGAAGCATTATTTCAGGAAGATATTTATTAATATAAAACGATAAGTGCAAATCCTTTATCTTTATCGAAGAAACTCCGCCGCGGTTTGTTCGCTCGACGTGTACGAGGCCTTATTATCGTATATGCCCAATTGGAACTCTATCAGTTGGGAATAAAGCAGCGATTTGAACGTATGACCTTAACAAGGAATTTCATAACGATTTATCTAATGATGTCAAAGTTTAGTACTTTTATGTGGCTATTGATATAATTTATTACAACTATTACATTTTTAACCTTGCGTATCAGTCGCGTATTTATGCTGAGTGCTGCTTTGGTCTATTAGACACCTTTTCTTTTTTAATAATAATAATGAAATAAGTACTTATTTGACCTCCATCTTACCTAATGGAAAATGACGATGAGGTCGATGACCAGCACGTGCACACATAAATAATGCCTATTCACTCTCGCCTTGAAAAGGCCCCAGGGAATAAGTCTGCTGGCAGGGAACTTCACTCCATAGCTTAGGAACTATATCGTGAAATTCCCTCGCTCACTCTTCGTGATATATCCTGTGAAATACCGATAAGCATATTATGCAAGTTTACGGCGGTGCTCAAGGCTTTGCAGGTTCACTTCTACTAAATCCGAGTCACCCTTAAGCCTCTTGCTACGCTTTTCAACTGAACAGGACCAGTATTTAACAGATCCATACAGTAGGTAGCAGCAGCACTTTTTGCTTTCACTTTCCTAATCCATACTGCAAAGGAATGAAACAGTACGGCATCGGTTTTTATTTATTTTATGCTAATCTAACCGAATGAGACTGCTGTGTTCAAACTCAGTCTAAGCAGCACTTGCTTGTGTCGGCGTCGTGCCCAGACACCTGCACGAGGGAAGATCTCAACGCGGCCACAGATAGCGCAATCAAGATGGCAACATAACACTGAAAGTCAATATAACCCTAAAATAAGAGAAGCATCAACAATATAAGAAGATTTAAGATTTGGTCTGAGGCAGTACCACCGCTTTACCTATTAAGCAGCAATTAAGAACATTACTGCGTTTCGGTTTTGAAGGGTAAGGGTGCTGGTGAAATTACATGCACGCGGGACTTGTCAACTTATGTCTCAGGGTGACGGGTACAGTGGCAGTGCCCCTAAGATCTTTGCGATTAAAAGCTCTGAGTGGCACTGCAACTGTTATGGACAAGCGTGTCGCTTACCACCAGGTGCGCGACTTGTTTATTTATTTATTATGTTAGGCACATAAGCATCATAATATTCGGCAATTAACAAAAATTAGGACTGATACGTATGACAATTACAGACGTACACAACATTCGCGATCCTTATCCAAATTAGTCCCACCGACAAGCGAACCCAGGATCTCCTCATCCAGCGCCCAGAGCGCAGACTGTTGGGCCCTTGGTCCGGCTCGAATGACCAGAATGTGGGCGAGACGCTTGCCTAAGTAGGTTTAGAAAGAGAGGCGAAAGAATTAAGATTCCTTTGGGATTATTGGGAACGTATATTTTAGCGATTTTTATGACAACTAAATATCAAAACATAACATCAAAACTGTAACAAATTCAAAAGGAATAAAAGCTATAAAATGTGTCAAAAAGATATGCTCGCGCAAGAAGTCGATAATACTCTTGAGGTTTTAGTTACAAACTGATCGCAGCAAGGATTTAAATTTCATAAAGTGTATTTGCAATTAAAAAGGCGGCGGTGACGGTGCCCTCCTCTATGAATTGCTCAAGGAGAAGCCAAAGTTCGTGTGGATGCTGGAAATCGACGAGACCGTGATGAACGCTTGCAACAAACATCTGCGATCCATCTGCGGGGATGTCCTTGAACAGCGGAAAGGGCATAACTATGAGGTAATATTTCCCCTTAAATGTCCTTGCTCCGATATTATTTAAAAAAAACGGATGAATACTGTAAGCATATTGTATAAGAGGTTGGTTTCAACAACAGAGTGTAGTACAGCAATCCAAATATCTGTGACCTTCGACTCCCCACTTCGCCTAGCGTCACCCCACCCTCGCTCTATCATTACCGTTGCCACAACAACTTCTGTAACAAAAACAGCATTCGATCGATTCTCGGATTGTTATGTTCCTATTTAAAACATATATTGATAACTATTGTATTATATTACTGACATATTTTTGAGCTTGTCGTCCGACAGATATTTTGGTCCTGTTGTGTATAAAGAATTGGCCTCTTACAGATCACATCTTCAGAACAACTTAAGTATTCTTTGTTTCCGTTCGTCTTGAATTTTATATATTTCAAAAAGTACAGAAATATATTGCAATATAGTTTTATAAACCTCTTAAGAAAATCTATTACCACTATAAACAATATTTTGCCGTTTTCACAAAAGAAATATTTCACAAAAAAAAATACTTTGAAATAAATAAATACTTGCATTTTACATAAGGAATCGCATTTTCCTATAATTAAATCATTTTCTGTAAAAATTCCAGATAATTGGTTTTCACTGTAAAACGACGGTTTATAGGTTAAATAATCATTGAAGGATATACGACCAAAAAGAAAATAGTATTAATTTGTTTAAAAGATGGAATACAACTAGAAAACAAAAATTACTAACTAAATAGTTTCGAAGTCCAGTATTACTTGCGTGTTGAAATAAGATAATATATCACTTAGATCTTTAGATGCTACTCTGTATTCATAGACTATGAATCGGCATCATAAAATAATACAGTCTCAAATAACTAAGACTTAAACTACATTGATTAATAACATTAATAACGATTTTGAACCATAGCTGGCAACTTGAACAATAAGTAAACAATAAGTGATCATTTATGTACTCGAGTGATATTTAGTTGTTACGGTAGAGAACCTTCAAGAGGACCTTCCTGAATGCCTGAATATAATACCAGATTCGTTATAGATCATCGCATAAACGGAGACGCCTGTCACTATACCGGTAATTAGTTTCTTTTTCATCACTCGACTAAGTCAGTACGGTATATTTTACTTCGTTTTTGAGAGTTAGGTGTACAGTAAGACTATAGTAATCCATAAATATATTAATAAACAGTTTATGTAAGCTGTATAATTGTAACGATTTATATAAGGTGTATAATTGCAACAGTGTTTGTGGGCTGTATAATTATGGCAGTTTACGTAAGCTGTATTTTTGTAACATTTTATATACGCTTCATAAGTTGTAATAATTTATGTAAGCTGTATAATATTGCCTCTATTGACAGGTGGTCTTGTAATTCTAATTATACTTGTAACGAGGGTTGTACGTGATATAAAATGTGTGTAATGATATCTAGTGATTCTTACATAAACCCAATGTATTACAGAATAACACATTGTGTCTCTTTCAATCAACATCATCCGTTGTAGTTTGTCACTAAAGCAACAGTTTAAACGTAAACTAAGTAAAAATTTTGTCAATCTATAGATGAATTATTTCGTCTCGTTCCAAGACTTTGTTTAATTAAGGTATTAATTTGCGCTCGATTCTTTTTTTGTTTTGTGATTGATAAACTTATGATTAAAGAATACTTTCTTTCTTTATAAATCCATTTTGATGTTTTATTGTATTGTATAATACGTAGGTATTCGCTATATTTGCTCTTTGAGACAGACAATTGGTTACGTCAGTTACATGATAGCTTACTATTACATTAACAAGTTAAAAGTTAAAGTTAAAGTTAAAAGTTAACAAGAAGTATATGTACGTGTTTGCGCCCATATATGGTACTTGCAATGCGTTTTATTCTGTCACGATTGAAGTGAGCCTCAGTTTCCATATAAAATCAACGAGCAGGTTCCTTTTCTTCCCAATTGCGAAATTAATTATGTACTTATTAGTGCAAATAATATAACGTAGCACATGATTATAAGTTTAATAGGCCAATGTTGTTTAAGATACCTACGTAAATATCAGTAAATTATAATTATTACACAACATCACATACTTTCAAAGTAAGTAATTAAAGCACTTGTATTATGGAAATCGGAAACAATGACGGTACCATGAACAGCCAGGCCCGACATAGTATAGAAAAGTTAGTTTTCTACACTAACCCGGCCGGGATCGAACCAGGGACCTCAGAGATGGCGACACCATGAAAACCGGTGTGCAAACATCAGTTTTTATGGTGTCGCCCTCGACCACAGAGGCCGTCAAAAAGTATTTTCATTTATATCTAAGGCTTTATGAAGCGTAAAGGCTCATAGCACCTGTACCACGTATATACCGCGACGTAGGACATATACAGTGGTGGACACATAATTAAAGACACTTAGAGAATATTATTTTTTCAAAGTTTACTTATCCTATATTTTTTTATTATAATGCAATAGGAGCTTGCAATATTATTTAAATTATTCTAACGGGTATCGTGAAATGTTTGAAATGAAATAAAGAGAACGAAGATGTCGTATTTTAAATTTTTATTAAGTTTCTTTAATTACACCGTTATAAACTAATACAAAAGCTTGGCCAACTAATTAAAGACACAAATCATGTAACTGCAAAAAAAATATTACAAATGTTAAAACGAATTTGAGTATAAAATTAGTTTCAGATGTATAATAAGAAAATAAAAGCACGTTGTTAATATTTTGTCGCATGTCCTTTAGCAGCAATGACGGCCCGACACCGCCTCGGCATAGAAGCAATCAAATTATTGCAAGTTTCAATCGAAATCTGTTCCCATGCCTCTTTAAATGCCGTGTATAGTTGATGCACGTTACTTGTACGTTTTTTTGCAACCATTTTCTTCACACGGGACCACAAGTTTTCGATCGGGTTAATGTCAGGACTATACGGTGGCCAATCCAAAACTGTTACTGATTGGCTTCTAAGAAATTCTTTGACCACTGCTGAAGTGTGTTTGGGATCATTATCATGTTGAAAAGTCCATATCACCGGCAAATGATCCTCGGCATAAGGTAACATGGTGTTTTCTAAAATATTTTTATATTGAAATTTATCCATGTTACCTTCTATTTTTTTAATAGCTCCCACACCGTGACCAGAAAAACATCCCCAAACTTTGATATTACCCCCTCCATGTTTAACAGTTTTTTTTGTGTATTTTGGATCCATTTCTTTTTTTGAAGGACGCCTCACGTAAACTTTTCCATCAGAGTTAACCATATTTATTTTAGTTTCGTCAGAAAAAAAGCACATTTTTCCACTGTCGCTCTGTCCAATGTGCATATTTTTTGGCAGACAGCAATCTGGTTTTGATGTTTTCTTTCTTCAAAAGGGGTACCTTCCGAGAAATTCTTCCAAACAAGTTTGCCTCACATAATCGCCTTCTCACCGTTCTTGTAGACACTCCTCTAGATTCCTCTGCACCAAATACTTCCAAGCGAATGACTTCTGATCCTTTGAAAGGGTCTTTTTTAGCCAACAATTCTATTCTTGTGTCTTCTCGCTGGGTTGTTTTTCGCGGTCTAGGTTTCCTAGGCACATTTTCCGTAGTGTTAAATTTCTTAAAATATATAGCTAGCGTTCATTACCATATCTTTCGAGCATCGCAAGTGTTCTGCAATTTTCCTATATGACCACCCTTTTTCATAAAAAATCAGAATTATCTTCCTTGTGGAAGGATCGCAACTTTTGCTTTTTCCCATAATATTTCAATTTAAATTTCACAATAAACTTAGAGCACGGCTAAAACTGAGTGAGATTTTGCGTACCACGAAAATTCGCTCAATATTAGAAAAAATCAGTGCTCTTTTTTTTTTTTATTTCAAGTTTAGAACACGAAATACGCACTGTCTTTAATTAGATGGCCAGCAGCTAATGTATCGAAAAAGTTTGAATGATATTTGAAACAGGATCTATGTAAACTCTTTTTAGTTAAACTTTGATACTGTTCTCATTTTAAAAAATATATGATGTCAGTGTATGTAAAATGACTATTAAAATGGAATTGATACCTATCTTGGGTCTCTAAATATCATTTAATTTGTTGTATGTGGTCAACATCAAGGGTGTCTTTAATTATGTGACCACCACTATATATTACATATAAAGTATATTGACTTAAGTAACCCGTCGATTTATAACCCGTCACGTGTCCTAGAGTGAGATAGAGACATACGGTGTCCCTAATGATTTTAGTGCAGTAGCGTCTTAGAGCTACACGGCGTCTCTAACGCGCAGCAATCCATCCATATTTTTTTTTTTATAAATTTTTGTAATTTTCGTTTTATAAAAATCGTTAAGGACACCTGTAAGAAGAAGTCATTATACGTTACTGAGACTGCATCAAAACCACGGAAAGTACAGTAATCTGTTCTGCGAGAATAGATTAAACAATAAAATACGGTTACCTACTTTCAAGTTTCACCTATAGTGAAGTGCCTAATTAAGCGTCATTTTTCCAGATAATCGTTGAAGATTGCATGCTGACCGTAAATAAGTTCATCAAAGAAGGCAAGAAGGTAGACTACATATTCGGCGACCTGACAGACATTCCCATTTCGGAATCAGCCTGCGGCGAGCTATGGGAATTTATGATCACTATTCTGCAGGCCAGCTTCAAGATTCTCAAACAAAATGGGAAATTTATGACACATGTAAGTTTCAAGTTATCTTTCGAATAACATGATCATAGTCTATGATATATATAATATCTTGTCTCTGTTTCGAATAGAGCAATGAATTACTATTATATTGTCTTTTTAAAATATATATTTCTGGTACAAGGGAATGGACGCAGTGACAGTGCCCCTAAGATCTTCGCATTTAAAAGCTCTGAGTGGCACTGCAACTGTTATGGATGGGCGTGTCGTTTACGCACGACTTGTTCGTTCCGTCGCTTGATATTATAAAAAATAAAAAGTCAAGCTTTATTTCACATTGCAGGGCAATGGCGCCACGTCCCCTGAGTCCCTAGAATTGTACGAACAGGAACTGACCAAGCTGAAACCACCGGTCAAATTTTCCAAAAGTCGGGCTTTCGTGCCCTCTTTCCTCGAGGACTGGATCTTCTATCAGATATCCTTCAAAACCACCGACAACGGGGACGCCTAACACTCTACCAAAGATTATAGTTCCTTTTTCATCACTCTACTAAGTCAATACGCCATATTTTACCTAGCTATTAAGTCTACGGCTAACCTTAAGTATTACACAGTTTATGTAAGCTGTATATTTGGAACAGTTTATAGAGGCTATACAATTATAACAGTTTATGTAAGATGTGTAATTGTAACATATTACGTAAGCTGTATAATTGTAACATTTTACGTAAGCTGTGTAATTATAACATTTTGTATAAGCTGTATAATTGTAACAGTTTACGTAAGCTGTATAATAATGTTTTTATTGACAAGGTGGCCTTGTAATTCGAATCTATGGGTGCATTGTACGCGATACAAATCGCGTGTAAAAATATATTGTGATTTTTACATAAACCCAATGTATTGTAGGATAACACGGTTGAATTTAGACTGTAAGGAAAAATGTAGTCACACTACAGATGTATTATTTGATCTAATTCAAAGATCGGACCTCAAAATGTCGGTATTAATTTGTGCTTGTTCCTTTCATTGTTTTGTGATTAATAAAACTTATGATTATAGGAAACTTTCTTTCATTGCATATTCATTTTGGCGTTACTGGTAAAGCATTTTTTTTTTACTCTTACTATTCTCGATGAATTTTATTATAGGTTTTGTTTAACCTTTGAAACGAACGTTTATGTTACAATATTACAGGATCGCATACAATTTTCGATAGGTTAGTGACAAGTAAATTCTTGTTTTCGTCCATATATCGACCCCTCACACGAAAAGTATCGTATGTCAAAATTGCCAAGTTTACAGGGGAGCCTTTTAAAGTTCTGAATTCGCTGAAATAAGCATAACACGTGACTTTAGATTTCTCAATTTTATTCGGCAAATCTCGTTACACGCGTTGAGTATCATAAAATCCTAGATATCGGTTAGATGATCACTCTATGTGAGTAACAAGCTTTGCCGAATGAAACGGAGAACTTTAAAACACTCCCCTGTAAACTTGGCAATTTCGACATACGATACTTTACGTAGGAGGCGTCGATATGGTGCTTGCAAAGCGTTCTATTTTGTCACGATGTATGTAGAGTGTGCGTGTAACTCTGCACAACCCGACATAAAGTATCTAGATTTGTTAACGACTCGGTAACATAATACCACGGAAGAATGAAAAGATTTGTGGTCTGTGCTTAATACAGTGTAGCACAGTTTCCATATAAAAACGAGAGTGTACTCTTTCTTCCCCCAACTAATTTCGATAATTACAGTGTGTTTATTTACAGCTCAATGTTATTTACGATACGTAAATCCAAAAAGTACACCGCCAATAAGAAGAAAGATACGTAGCTTCATTGATACCTACGGCTTTGTGCAACATAATATACGTATAAAATCTGTATTACGTTACGTACCACTTGTATATCGCTATGCAGCACCGGTACAACGCCGCCTAGCACCGGTATAATGCTAAGTAGCTCGTATAGCCATGTAGCACCTGCATAACGCCCCGTAGCACCTATATAACGCCACGTAACACATGTATAACGCTACGTAGCACCTGTATAACACCACGTAGCACCGGTATAATGCCACGTAGCGCGTGTGTAGCACCTATGTGATGCTACGTACCATTAAGGTTACGGGACAGGATACCATTAAAAATATACAAAGAATTCACAAACTTGGAAATATATGTATAGATCACTACCCTTTAGGTAAATATACTGCTTAGTTAGTTCCAATAATAGCCGGCAGTGAAAATTGTACCTCTCTTACAAACCGTGCTGCGCCGCATTCTATGTGTGAACTTACATTAATAAAACTACACTTATATTACGAAATTATATTAAACATATATTACAGGGAAATCAAAAAATAAACAATGGAATTAAAACTTAAGTAAGTATTTTTTGTTTTAATTAACAAAATTATCATACAAATAACGTTTTGTGAACATTTCACATTACAGTGGAGTTGAACCATATTGTGACAATATTTTATTTTCGTCGTTTACAATGAAAAAATACGTAAGATTCCTCTCTGCAACTTTAGTTACTCTAGCTCATACTCTGAGATACAACTAAAGTTTTTTACTTGAATAAAATACGGGAAATAATAAAAGTTCCGAAAAACAAAATGAAATTGCAGCAACTAATGCCAACTGTAATACTCACTGTGTTAAAATGAGTTAATGAAAAATAAATACAGAATATACTGACAAAATTCACCATATTTAGCAAACAAAAACTTGTTCAAATCGCGAAAAAAACTACTAAACTACTTCCGCAAGAAAAACCAATGTACCAATGAATGTCCTATGCACCCCTCATGGAAAATGGCATAAGTTACGTGAAAAATGTTTATTGATCTATAAGGTACAGAAAAATATAACCCATATTCTCTCCAATTCTTGTAGCTCAATTAGTTTGCATTAATATTAGACATAACTGGTTGATGTCTTTACCACCTCAGTCAACCATAACCATGGGACCCGTAAAGGGCCCGAAACGTTGGTTTGTTTGAAAAACCAAATATACGTGACTTAAATTCGGAAAAATAGTTTAATTTAGTCGCCTTACTGTCTCAAACTCGTATTTTAAAGCACAAAGTTCCTGAAATGCAAAAAATGGATTGTATATACAAATGTTGCAGGCTGTTTTCACATCAGAGTTCCTGCATATTCACACATTGGCTTTTATTCATTTTTAAAGTAATGCATCCAAATTCACACCCTTGATAAGAAATTTAAAATAAATAGAAAGTTTTGCCATCTCCTAAATAATCACTCTTTATAAGATACGAGTTTGAGAAAGTAACGCATCGATTTCCTATGTGTAACAATCACGAAACCTAAGAACTGGATGTGTAGGTTAGTGTAGGTGTAGGTTGTTTTTAAAAGTGATTTACAATAAAATTAGTCTCGATAAAATATAAATAAAGTTGGTAGTCACGTCAGCATTTCATTCGGTTATTTCTGTATTTTTGTTTACGCAAAAGTTTTCAGTAGCTTAGTAAATAACGCAGTAATATTTATATTTTGTATAAGCTAATTTTTTATTTACTTTTCGGAACTTTTATTAATACCCATAAAATTGTTTCTCTCCAAGTGTAAAAAATTCACTGTGAAATTTTAAATTACCCGAGAAAATTGAAATTGGTGCCTATAAAAATGCATACACCCTGAAGAAGTTCAACGCATGACTGTCTAAAAGTTACTTATATTCAGTTCAAAATAATTGGACCGCAATATGTAGCTTGTTTTTCAAAATGTAAATTGCTAATTGAAATATTTTATGCTTTTAATAAAGAATTGTATTTAAAATTAAACTGTTTGTATTTGCATACTCTAATCATTATAAATATGCGTGTAGATTTAGCATTATTTAGTTTCATTTAATGGAACCATGTTCCAATTATATTTATACGTAAACAGGTGTCTTACTCTCCACAACATATTTTTTTATTTTATATTAACAACAAACATTAAAGAACTTACTTTACACGACAATACATATGTGACTTAAAAATACAAGGACCAAAATGTCTAAGCATTTACCCCGTTTTAAACTACTTGCAAATAGTATGGTGACCCCCAGACATTGGACACGTAAAATAATTCATATTTCTATCAATTAAAAGTTTACATGAGATATCATTTGTGTGTCTTACTTTTGTACCAAAAATAATCACAAGACAAAATGGTGTTAAAGAACATTAGTTTCTTGCAATACTACGAACACACAATCGTCGTAACGTTTTATACCCGACCGAAACGATTTTATTGCGAAATCTACAGAGTCGACGAATTTCCTTCGAAGATGTGGTAATTTTTTTTTTTTTTCAAACATTATTAAAGTGTATGCTTTAAAAAACATCATACTTTGACAATAATATTGTATTCATCTGTTTCACTGTGACTAATAGAGGCTGAAGCAGTGGCTTCCTCCCTCTCAAAAACCAAAAATCACTCAAACAATTTAATTATAGTCTGGCGACTGATTGTAAACAATAATAATCAATAAAAAGAAATCTGTATTACTATTTATACTAATGATGATCATAATTATCCTATCACATAGTATTGTAAATTGGAACGTAGGTAAAATAAATAATGTGCCAAAATAAGCCAAATAGTAGGCGCAGGCGAGAGTAAAGACGTCGCAGTGATTATCAAGTCTATAATGCTCAATAGATAAATTAGAAAAATTACATTTAAAAGCAACAGTATCTCATGTAAACAAACAACTTATAGATCTATTACATCAATACAATCCTGTACAATATATATATATATGTTAACTTATTGTTACTCCGCTTGTCTTAATCTCGCCAATCGCTGGGTTAATTCGTCTTGTTCTTGAGAGACCACTGTTGCAGTTCCGATCGAAGTGCTGGGTACACCGGACGGTAGCTCCATGTTTAGTTCCAACCTGAAATTATAATTAAAAGAAATATTACGATACATTACTACATAATTCTAAATAGGAAGCTATTAAGCTTTGTTTTAAAACAAGAACATAAAAAATTTCAATCGCACATGATGAAGTTCGAAATATATTGTTTTGGTAATGACAGGCACAGGACAGGGAGAACTGGAAGTCTCTGGAGGAGGCCTGTGTCGAAAGAAAAGCTTATGTATGATGTGGAGGTAATTTAATTATAGTAAAATTTATAATCAATTATTAATCTTGAAACTGTTTATCTTAAATATTAATTTTTAATTGGAAATTTATGTTCGTTATTTTTATTTTTAGTATTAATTTACGAATGGTTTTTTTTTTATTAATGAATTGTATTGTAATATTTGAGAAATGTTTCAGCAATAAAGGCTATTTATAAATAAGAAATTCGAAAAAACTTTTGGGACAAGGACAAAACACAGAAAAAAAATTACATCTAAATGAACTAATTTTATCTTGAAAAACTTTTTTTAACAAAAGTGAGTGAACATTTCACGTCCATCTCACCTGACGGAAAGTGACGATGACGCATGCACACCTAACACAAATAATATCTATTCACTCTCGCCTTGAAGAGGCCCAAGTTATAGGGTTTAGGGAATTTTTTCTGCAAGGAATTCCATTTCATAGCAAACTATTTCTTATTTATTTATTATATATAATTTAACTTACCGAATTACGTGACTTAATTATTGAGGATGTAATATGTCCTACTATGTGAGTTGAGTCATATCTCTTAGTTGTAATTATGAACTCACTCAACTAGGCGACAAAGTGGTCGCCCTGACTGAATATGGTCGAATATAATATGAAAGACATACCCAGCCTCATCTGCAACTTGCTGCAATAAGTTATCCACATCTCCTTGAGGCACTGTGGTGGTGGTGGTCTGCGACATTGCATTCTCCATATACGACGACTGCACATCCAAATCTTCAAACTGACTTTCAAACTTGTCCATTAGAGTGGATATCTTTTCGAGATTCATTGACTTCATTGCTGCATCCATTGCTTTTACAACACCAGCCATTGAATTAGTTACCTGTGGATTTAAGAGTGTTTTAAAGAAATATGAGTAATTAAAATCAACATTATCATCGATTTGTCATAGATGGCGCTACGGCTAAAAAGTTGTTGAAAACCAAATACAAAGATCCAAACAACACATTGAAAAATTCGTTCCG